CGACGATTTTCGTCGCATTTGCTACTAAAAATCATTCTGTGCGACGAGAAATATGTATCCAGTAGCACAAGTGCGATGGAGTTGCGCTGGTATCATGTCTAAAAAAAAGTAGGGAAAACTCTCTTGTCTTATACGTCTGTTGTTGGAACAATGCTTCCTGGGAGTTGTAGTTCTACATGTATACTGTCCTTCAGCCTGTGCATATTCTCATTTGTCCAGGTCATGGTATCCTAAAGGAGTTTTAAATCAAAACGCAACTGGACTTGATTATTTGTCTGGGAAGACGTTTCACCTCTCATCCAAGAGGCTTCATCAGTTTATTTGTCAAGTTTAAGAGTAATATCTAATTCGGACCAGCACAGACTGTTCATTGATGTGCATTGAAAATATTTAATTAATTTAATAGTTTAATAGTTGATTTTTCATGTTTAAATATTAATCGTTCTGTTGTGTTCAGGTCAAGGAAAGACAAACCACAACTGCCCAAATGCTATAATTTTGAGAATAAACACGGTAACTAACTGTTCACCTGTGTGTGCTACTAAATTTTTCTTTGTGCTACTAAAATGTTTAACTTGCTAGCCCCAGCGCTACCACCTAAAATAGTAAGCGTACAGCCCTGAATGGTGAGTAGATCGGTTTTCGTGTTTATCGTCCCACACATCCTCTGTAGTCTTACTTAGCCACTTGTTAGCAATCAGCCTTTTCCAAGAGACATACAAGCTTAAATAAATCAGGACTGCTTGGGTAAAATGCTAAAATGCAACTAATTTCCAGGTTTCAGGACTCATTCCTGCAGCACTCTATTGTGACTTTCAATGTAAACACACAGAAAAAAATGAGCAGAAGAAGAAATGGAATACTCCAAACAGGGAGTAGAAGAAGAAATGGAATACTCTTCAAAGCCAAACATCAAGGGAATCATTCCATCATACGTGTATTGTGACATCATCAGGTGACAGTGATAGAGAACTGTGAGGAAGAGATCACTTCAGCACATAACACAAACACCACTGACACAGACATCTGTTCAGAGTGCACAGCGTGACTTTTTCAACGATTTCAACAATTTCAACGATTTCAACAATTTCAACAATTTAAACAAACAACCAAAACAAAGGCCGAGTTCTAGCTCAACACCACTAAGTGGGACACCCACTCAACAGGTCATGGACAAGAGCCAAGCCCAAATGATGGTGTCCAAGGAGCTGCAGCATGAGATCTTCAACCTCAATGTCCTGTTGGGTAAGGAGAGGGCCAGCTGCATAACTGAAAAAAACTGGAGGGTCCAACTTGTCCAAGAGTTGGAGCAAACCAAAGAGCAGTTGGCCAAGCAGAAAACTCTGAAGGAGATGTACATCAACAGGGAGAAAGAGACAAGGAGAGAGCTGGAGAGGCTGCAAAAATACACAGACAAGGAAACCCTCAGCACCTCAAAGATCGCCACTCAGGTGCGAAACAACATCAAGCAGAAGAAGAAGAAACTTCTGCAAAAAGACTACGAGGAGCTGCAGGTGGCACATTTGATCAGCCAGGAGAAGTTCATGGCTGAGCTCCAAGGAGAGCAGGAGAAAAACAAGACTCTTCAAGAAGAACTGGAGAACCTGAGGGCTTCAAACCAAGAGGTCACCCACAGGTATGAAGCTGACATCCTCACTGTCAGACAGCAGGCTGACAACCTTCAGCGTGAGCTTGAGAAGGAAATCAAAGTTCATGCTGAAAGGGCGTCAGAGGACCTGCTCCTGCAGAAAAACCTGAGGGCTGAGCAGGACACCCTCCGACAAAAGATGGCCGAAGACATCAAAGTCATACAGCAAAACGCTGCTGAGCAGGAACAGTTTCTGCGCAGAGAGGTGGAGGAGCTGAAAACACAGCTCAACACTCAGCTCTCTCTCAACCATGAGCTCTCCACAGAGCTCAAGGCTGAGAGGGAGAACATGAAGCCTCTCCAAGAGATCAAGGTGGCACATTTGATCAGCCAGGAGAAGTTCATGGCTGAGCTCCAAGGAGAGCAGGAGAAAAACAAGGCTCTCCAAGAAGAACTGGAGAACCTGAGGGCTTCAAACCAAGAGGTCACCCACAGGTATGAAGCTGACATCCTCACTGTCAGACAGCAGGCTGACAACCTTCAGCGTGAGCTTGAGAAGGAAATCAAAGTTCATGCTGAAAGGGTGTCAGAGGACCTGCTCCTGGAGAAAAACCTGAGGGCTGAGCAGGACGCCCTCCGACAAAAGATGGCCGAAGACATCAAACTCATACAGCAAAACGCTGCTGAGCAGGAACAGTTTCTGCGCAGAGAGGTGGAGGAGCTGAAAACACAGCTCAACACTCAGCTCTCTCTCAACCATGAGCTCTCCACAGAGCTCAAGGCTGAGAGGGAGAACATGAAGCCTCTCCAAGAGATCAAGGTGGCACATTTGATCAGCCAGGAGAAGTTCATGGCTGAGCTCCAAGGAGAGCAGGAGAAAAACAAGGCTCTCCAAGAAGAACTGGAGAACCTGAGGGCTTCAAACCAAGAGGTCACCCACAGGTATGAAGCTGACATCCTCACTGTCAGACAGCAGGCTGACAACCTTCAGCGTGAGCTTGAGAAGGAAATCCTGCTCAAGGCTGAGAGGGAGAACATGAAGCCTCTCCAAGAGATCATCACCAGCCATCATAGCGAAGCAAACCAGGAAGAGAACCCTAATGCTCCATCTGATCCCGAACACAAACCCACAGAGATCAAGGCGTGTGAGGAGATCCTGCCCACCAAAACAAGGAAGTCAGTGTGGAAGAGAACCCGCCACTTCCTGGGGCTGCGGAAACCACAGAGGTGGAAGACGCCCAACGAGCCCACATCCTACAGTGACATCTGAGCTGTCTCTTCCTCCGTCACCCACTGAAAGCAACAGACCTTTTTCACAGCAGACATGAAACTCACCACCGGTCGAGGCAGATGGCCGCCCCCACCCTGAGCCCGGTTCTGCTCGAGGTTTCTTCCCCTGACAAGGGAGTTTCTCCTCGCCCCTGTCGCCAAGTGCTTGCTCATGGGGGAACTCTGGTTAATTTGACACAGCAGAAAAAGGACAGGTGTTCACCAAATATACGCCTGTCCTTTTCCTGCTGTGACAACCAAAATGTTTGCTGTGGAAAAGATCCTTGTCTTCTCTCATTTCTTTTCTTCACTTTCTTCTTTCTTTCTTCAGGGGTGAATGGATGGATTTAAAATATCAATAATAAACATTTAAAAAAATATTACTATGAACAATGAGCTAATGGACACATGCATTTCCCTAGGGAATAAGTATCTATCTATCAAGCTGTAAAGGTGGAATGGCAGGGCTGTACAGTGCGACGATTTTCGTCGCATTTGCTACTAAAAATCATTCTGTGCGACGAGAAATATGTATCCAGTAGCACAAGTGCAATGGAGTTGCGCTGGTCTAAAAAAAA